ATTCGGACCCACCAGCTCTGGTGTATGTGGCTGGCTCCTTAGCTGCTTGAGCTACAGGGGCCACCCATTTGTTTGTTTGTTTTTTTGAGACAGTCTCACTCTGTCATGCCATGGTGTCATAGCTCACAGCAACCTCAAACTCTTGGGGTTAGGCCATCCTCTTACTTCAGTGTCCCAAGTAGCTGGGACTACAGGCTCTCATTACAACACCTAGCTAATTTTTCTATTTTTAGTAGAGATGGGGTCTCACTCTTGCTCAGGTGATCTACCTGCCTCCCAGCATGCTAGGATTACTGGCGTGAGCTACCACCCCCAACCTAAATAATAATAATTATTAATTTTTTTGAGATAGTCTCACTTTGTCATCCTCAGTAGAGTGCTGTGGCGTCACAGCTTACCACAACCTCAAACTCTTGGGCTCAAGTGATTTTCTTGCCTCTCAGCCTCCTGAGTAGCTGAAACTACAGATGCCCACCACAATGCCTGGCTATATTTTAGAGACAGGGGTCTTGCTCTTGCTCGTGCTGGTCTAGAACCCATGAGCAGAGGCAATCCACCTGCCTCAGCCTCCCAGAGTATGAGGATTACGAACAGGCGTGAGCCACCATGCTGGCCCGTAAATTATTTATTCATTTATTTATTTACTTATTTCAGATAGTCTCACTATGTCACCCTCAGTAGAGTGCTGTAGCATCACAGCTCACAGCAACCTCAGACTCTTAGACTTAAGTGAGCTTAAGTCTAAGCTCTTGCCTCAGCTTCCCAAATAGCTGGGACTACAGGCATCTGCCACAATGCCCAGTTATTATTTTTGTTGTTGTTGTTGTATTAATTGTCATTGTTGTTTGGCAGGCCCAGCCTGGGTTTCAGCCCCGATGTATGTGGCTGGCACCCTAACCGTTGAGCTACAGGCCCCGAGCCTAAATTATATTTTTTAATTATCTTTTTTTTTTTTTTTTTAGACAGAGCCTCAAGCTGTCCCCCTGGGTAGAGTGCCATGGCATCACAGCTCACAGCAACCTCCAACTCCTGAGCTCAAGCGAGTCTTCTGCCTCAGCCTCCCAAGTAGCTAGGACTACAGGTGCCCACCACAACGCCTGGCTATTTTTTTTCAGTTGCAGCCATCATTGTTGTTTTTGGTGGGCCCGGGCTGGATTCGAACCTGCCACCTTTGGTGTATGTGGCTGGCACCTTAACCACTTGAGCCACAGGCGCTGAGCCATTTTTTAATTATCTTAAAAAATATAATTTAGTGTTCACACTCATACTTAAAATTCAAAGTGAGAACTGGAGGCTGGGTGTGGTGGCTCACACCTGTAATCCTAGTACTCTGGGAGGCCAGGGTAGGTGGATTGCATGCACTCAGGTTTGTGACCAGCCTGAGCCAGAGAGAGACCTTTAGCTTGTCTCTAAAAATAGCTGAATGTTGTGACAGGTGCCATTAGTCTCAGTTACTTGGGAGGCTGAGGTAAGGAAATCACTTGAGCCCAAGAGTTTGAGGTTGCTATGAGCTGTGACAGCACAGCACTCAACTGAGGGTGACAAAGTAAGACTGTCTCAGAAAAAAAAAATACAGTCAGAACTGGGTTGGAACTGGGTTGTTTCTTTTAACCTCATGGGCATGTCACATCTCCTCTCCTCTCCCCAGTTCTCAGTGGAACCTATGTAATGAGTCCTCTACTTTTTCCCTTGATATGCATATAACAGTCAGGAAAAAACCCAGATTGTGACCACCAATGACATGACCACTGAACACAGCCAGCTGTCTTTTTGTGCCTTTTTTTTTTTTTGAGATGGTCTCACTTGGTCATCCTTGGTAGAGTGCCATGGTGTCTTAGCTCACAGCAACCTCAAACTCTTGGGTTCAAGAGATCCCAGCTATTTTCTAGAGACGGGGTCTCGCTCTGGCTAAGGCTGGTCTTGATCCTTTGAGCTCAGATAATTCACCTTCCTTGGCCTCCCAAGTGCTGGGACTACAGAAATGAGCCACCATGCCTGGCCATCTTTTTGTGCTTTTGACTTTTTAAGTTTGAAGCCCTCCAGGAACACCTGGTCATACTGCTGTGTGTTACATTCTGTCACAGTATCTTTGTTTGTAGTGTCCCCCCCAGGCAGCTGACGGGTGGGCTGCTTTGGTCTGGATTCACTTAGGTCTGGCGTGGGGGCTATGTGGAGGGCCAGGCCTGTTCCCTTATACCACACGGAGTTGGCTGGGCTGGGATTGGAAAGGCCTATGTCCCTTCCTCTGCCTAAGGGCCATGTGGGCTCAGGTAGTGCTAACCAGGTGACCCTCAGCCCAGGTGTGGGTCCCCTCAGGTGAATGAAGTGGCCTTTAGCCCCAACGAGTCTCACTGTGCCACCTGCGGTGAGGACGGGAGTGTACGGGTGTGGTCCCTGGCCAGCCTGGAGCTAGTGATACAGTTCCAGGTGCTGAACCAGGTAGGTGGTGTGCAGGGCTGGGGGTGATGCTGAGGGTGGGGCCTGTCTGCCCAGGGCTCAGGAAGCTTTGTCTTTCTGGCCTCTGTGTCTACCCTCCTTGGTCCCTCCCTGGGCTAAGGCTGATGTTCCCCACCTTGGGCCCCCAGAGTTGCCTGTGCCTTGCATGGAGCCCCCAGTCCTGTGGACGCCCAGAGCAGCAGCGGCTAGCAGCTGGCTACAGTGATGGCACACTGCGCCTCTTTAGCGTCTCCCGGACAGTCATGGAGCTCAAGATGCACCCCCACTTGGCTGCGCTGACAGCTGTTGCTTTCTCCACTGATGGTGAGGAGTTAGGCATGTAGTAATGCCACCATCCCCACCTGGCCCAGGTCAGCTCTCCGGGCTGGGGGTTCAAAGGGTGACAGCATGGTTCCCACCTGGCCCAGGTCAGACCATCCTCTCTGGAGACAAGGACGGGCTGGTGGCTGTGAGTCACCTTTGCACAGGGATGACCTTCCGTGTGGTGAGTGACCACCGGGGTGCCCCAATCTCCACCATCCAGATCACAAGTAAAGAGGTGAGGCAGCCTCCAGAGCTGTGGTGGGGTGGAGGTGCAGGCAGACAGGGGCAGATCTGGGCAGAGACAACTGTCAGCTCTCACCCTTGCCAGCACGGAGACTTTGGGGTAGAGGGCACAGACTTGTGGCTGGCTGCCAGTGGGGACCAGCGTGTCAGCATCTGGGGCTCTGACTGGCTGAGGAACCACTGTGAGCTCCTGGACTGGCTGAGCTTCCCGATGCCTGCTGGCCTAGAGGTAAGACGGTCCTGGTGGCACTGTGGGTAAGGGTGGTGCTCCCCCTACCCCATAGCCTGCTGTACCTCTCCACAGACCCAGGGCCACCTGCCGCCCTCCCTTGCTGCCTTCTGCCCCTGGGACAGGGGGCTGCTGGTATATGTGGGCCCAGGGGGACACAAGGAGGTGATTGTCTACAGCCTCCACCAGAAGCAGGTGAGCATACCTGCTGGCTTGGTGCTGGAAACTCAGGGTCCCAGGCTGGGGAGCCTGGGCTAAATTCTGAGCCCAGAGCCCAAGTGCCTTGTGCTGGGTCTCCACAGGTGGTGGAGAGGATTCCGGTGCCTTTTTTTGCCACATCCCTGAGCCTATCCACAGGGGCCTGCCTCATGGCCCTCGGCTTCGCTGGTAAGTGATGGTGGGTGCCAACTCAGGCTATTTTGGCTGGGGCTGAGTAGGCTCACCTGTGCCCCTCCGAGACACACCCCTCACCTGTGCTCCTAAAGTTGGGTCGGGATGCCAAGACCAGAAGCTGAGCATGTGAGGTGCTGAGTGTGGCACCTGGCACTGGGGCTCACAGCCCTGAACCCATCAACATGGGTTCCCCCTGGCCAGGTGCGATGGGCTCATGCCTATAATCCTAGCACTCTGGGAGGCCGAAGAGGGTGGATTGCTTGAGCTCACAGGTTCGAGACCAGCATGAGCCAGAGCGAGACCTTGTCTCTAAAAATAGCCAGGTGTTGTGGCAGATGCTTGTAGTCCCAGCTACACGGAGGCTGAGCCAAGAGAATTGCTTGAGCCCAAGAGTTTGAGGTTGCTATGAGCTGTGACGCCATGACACTCTAGTGAGGGTGACAAGTGAGACTCTTTCCCCTCCCACCCAAAAAAAACCCCCATGGGATCCCCCTGCCAGTGCACTGCCTGGCTCCAACCTACTCCATGCCATCTGCCCCTAGAACGTGTGCTGAGGTTGGTGGACTGTACGTCGGGGACTTCCCAGGACTTTACCGGCCATGGTTATACAGTGCACCTGTGCAGATTCACCCCATCCGCCAGGCAGCTCTTCACAGTGGCCCACAATGAGATCCTGGTGTGGGAGGTCACAGGCCACTGATCTGTGGTGAGGACCATGGTGTCAAGTGCCCCAGGCCACCTGGGCAGAAGTGTGGCTGAGAAGCCAGGTTGTCAAATGCCTCATGTGAGGACAGGATGACGGGGACAGACCAGAACTCCACGTAAACCATCAGAACCAGACTGCTGTGAATTTGAGCAACCTGAAAATACAACAACCTGTTCACTTTTCACCTAGGGAGTTTTTTTAATAAAAAACAATTCATTTTTATTAACTAAAATGAAATCAAATCTATATTTTAAATCAAATGAGAAATGCAGTTGCAGGCTCGGTGTCTATAGCTCAACCGGCTAAGGCGCCAGCCACGTACACCTAAGGTGGCGGGTTCGAATCCCCAGCCCGGACCCGCCAAACAACAATGACGGCTGCAACCAAAAAATAGCCGGGCGTTGTGGCGGGCGCCTGTGGTCCCAGCTACTTGGGAGGCTGAGGCAGGAGACTCGCTTGAGCCCAGGAGTTGGAGGTTGCCGTGAGCTGTAATGCCACGGCACTCTACCCAGGGGGACAGCTTGAGGCTCTGTCTCAAAAAAAAAAAAAAGAAAAAAGAAATGCAGTTGCAGTGATAGAATGTAAACCCTACATGAGCATACTCCACTGTGGTTGTTAGTTACTTGGTGTGTTCTGTTTTCAAAGACAAGATTAATTTTTTTCCAACTAATCTTTGGTATAGAATAGCTATTTCCTTTCAGAGGAGAGAGTGACCATCATTTATGCTCTGTTATTTCTACCATATAAGCAGTCCTATTCTCTTCAGAAAATCTGCTTCTCAGTGTGTTAGCTCTTTTTGATCCATGGTCTTGTAGCAGAGAAACCTTTTCCAATAACCCAAAATGTTGTCTCTAGTACTAACAAACATTAATCACGACGCCTTAGATCATAGTTTTGTACACAGCATCTGCCATTCTGTGTGCTTTCATTCAAACTTAAGTGCTTTCATTAAAATTCAGTATTCTTGATATTTCAGGGAACCCGGGGTATAAATGAACCCATCCTAATAAACACATCCTTTTACCTTACTAAACCCTTCCCAGAGACCTTCATGGGACACATGTAGTAAAGTTATAGCGTCAATGTATTTCAGACCTCATCACCTAAGGGGTTTTAACGTTTACACTTTGTAGCTTAAATTAACGTGTGCATTTATTACATTACTACTCTCTCGTTGCACTGGTAGTCCCCTTTTCGCTCCTGGCCAGAGCTCAGCCTCTGCCCCAGCCCTAACCCTCCAGTCCCCGTCCTGGCCCAAAGGCCGATCAACCCGCCAGGCCTTGGCCCGCGCGCCCCAAGTCCCGCCGCCCACGGTCCCCGGCGAGCCCACACGGTGGCGCCGCCGCGCAGCCGGGTTTCTCTGGCCCGCCGGCTCGCTGGTGCAGCTGGATGGACGGGGACCGGAAGTGCGGGCTCGAGGGGGCGGGCAGAGGGCGGGGGGCCCGGCCCAGGTCAGGTCCGGGTGGTGTTTGGGGCCAGTGTGCGGCTCCAGGTGGCAACCATGAGACGGGACGTGCGTATCCTGCTGCTGGGCGAGGGTAGGCACCGAGGGGCCGAGGGACTTGGGGCTGGAGATATGGGGCTGGAGTCGTCGGGGCGCGGACGGGGGCACCGTGAACTTGGCGGTCCACTCTGACCGCGCCGCCCTGCGCAGCCCAGGTGGGGAAGACGTCGCTGATTCTGTCGCTGGTGAGCGAAGAGTTCCCTGAGGAGGTAAGCGGCCAGCGCGTCGCAGCGGGGTGCCGGCTGCAAGGGGAGAGGCTGAGGTCCCGGGCGCTGCGGGGGGGCCCTCGGTCAGCCCTCCCTGGGCCTGTTGCAGGTACCTCCCCGAGCAGAAGAGATCACGATCCCCGCAGACGTCACTCCAGAGAAGGTGCCCACCCACATTGTGGACTACTCAGGTATTCGGTCCCACCCATCCTGGTGGTTTTGCCCAAGAGCGGGCTTTTCAGGCTGGTCTGCAGCAGGGTCTCTTCCATCCAGAAGCCGAGCAGACAGACGAGGAGCTCCAGGACGAGATCCACAAGGTTCGGGTTGTGAGGGCTCAGGAAGTGGGTGCTGGCCATGGGGGCCTCAGGCTAATCGGCTTCACCCTCTGAGGAATTGGATTAAGGTGCTCGATTTGTCCTCGGCCCTGGTAATTCTGTTGTGATCTCTCAGCACCCACAGTTGTCAGGGCTCCAGTGACATACCCTGCTGGGAGAACCTTGGGAAAGAAGGGAGCTTCCCTGAGGGCCATCTGTCCTTCTTTCCCACATGGCCAGCCAGTGCTTGGTCTTCCTTTGTGCTCTAGAGAGTGGCTATCCCTTTTGCTGCATAGCCTGGCCTCCAGGCTTTGGTAGGTGCTGTCGTATCTAGGGCTCACCTGTTACCAGGTTGTGTGTGCCAGCCACCTGTAGCCTCTATTGTGTTCTGGGAGCATTGTCAGGAAGGGAAGCATTGGCTGCCACAGCCTCCCAGAGGCAGCCCCAAACTCTGACACTATTACTTTGACTGCTTGTAATAAGTACAGGCCAAGGTCAGGGTCAGTGTGCTCTGACTGCTTTCCTCCAGGGCTGGGTTCTGGGCGTGGTTGTGTCTGTCCTGAGGCCTCCAGAGGACCTGCTGCCTAGAACTGTGTGCTTTGGGGTCTGCCATCTCTGTGCTGGGACAGGCAGGGAACGGGCTATCTGAGGTGCCAGCCGGCAGCTGCCTGTCCCCAGCATGACAGCAGAGAGTGAACATCAGGCTAGAGGCAAATTCTAGAGAAGAATGGGCTCCTAGGCCTTGGAGCTGTGCTCCATGCCACCTGTGAGTGCCTGGGAGGGTGTGTAGTTGGCCTGGGCTGTCCTCGGTGAGCAGGCAGCCTCTTGTCTCCCTGTGCCTCTGCTTTCCTCACAGGCAAACGTTGTGTGTGTGGTATATGATGTCTCCGAGGAGGCCACGATTGAGAAGGTAAGGGGCTACTGCTTGTTTAGTCAATACTCTGTCCACGATGCAGACCCTAGTGGTAGAGATCGGGTGGCCAAGGTGGACTCAACCCTGTGTACTGCCCCATCCATAACAAACATCTTGGGGACCTTCACCTGGAGCTGCTGGCTGCTCCCCCAGTGAGCCTAAGTCCTTCCACACAGAGAGAGCCTAGTGTGGCTGCCTGTCTGAACTGCGTAGCAGCCCGTCTTCCCTCCCTAGTCTCAGAACTCCCAAGTGAGTGACTAGGGGCCTTTCTTGGGCTCCTCCGGGCTTCATCCCTAGTGCTGAGACTTGGGGGCCTCAATTGGCCTTGACCTCCCCTTCTGCTCTCCCCAAGCCAGGTGTGAGCCCTGTCTGGGAGCTGTGGGCTGCACTGTATGGGCAGCCTTGTATCATGGCTGGGCTTTGCTTTTCAGATCCGAACCAAGTGGATCCCGCTGGTGAATGGGAGGACTGAGAAAGGGTCCAGGTAATGAGCAACACCTGGGGCATGCCCCACTGGCTCCTACTCCCTAATGACCATGGCCTTCTTCTCCCAGGGTGCCCATCATCCTGGTGGGCAACAAGTCAGACCTGCGGCCAGGGAGCTCCGTGGAAGCTGTGCTTCCCATCATGAACCAGTTTCCCGAGATTGAGACCTGTGTGGAGGTAAGTGGGCAGGGTATGGCTCTAGCTGGGAAATCTATGGTGAGACCCCTGTCCTGTGTCTTCCTCAGCCTATCCTGCCTTCCCCAGTGTTCAGCCAAGAACCTGAGGAACATCTCAGAACTGTTTTACTATGCTCAGAAGGCTGTCCTGCACCCCACAGCACCCCTCTATGACCCAGAAACCAAGCAGGTGGGTGGTAGGCCTGACCTGGCTCCACTAGGGACCCACAGGGATGGGGATGGTTAAAGGCTGCCTGGAGGCACTGAGCCATTGTCCCCACAGTTGAAGCCCGCGTGTGCCCAGGCCCTCACGCGCATCTTCAGGCTCTCAGATCAGGACCTGGACCAGACACTCAGTGACGAGGAACTTAATGCCTTCCAGGTGTGCCCCACCCCCACCCGAAGGTGCCCTATCTCTTGTGTCTCTGCTGCTGCTGGTTATTAGACCTGCAGTTTCAGGGTGGCCAACTCACACCAACTATTTCTTGGAGGCAGAAAGCCTGTTTTGGGCACCCGCTGGCGCCGCAGGCACTGGAGGATGTAAAGATGGTGGTGCGCAAGAACGTGGTGGGCGGTGTGCAGGATGACCGGCTGACCCTAGATGGTGAGACTAGGCCCCCACTGCCTCCAGGTGCTGGACGCCCAGCCAGGCTATGCCTGGGGCTACCCGCCTCTGTCTTGGCACAGGCTTCCTCTTCCTGAATACCCTCTTCATCCAACGGGGCCGGCATGAGACCACATGGACCATCCTGCGGTGTTTTGGCTACAGCGATACACTTGAGCTTACAACCGACTACCTTTTCCCACCGTCAGTGTTTAGTGGGGCTTAGGGCTCAACCTCCCTGGGCATGGGGGGGTCCAGCTTAGCAGCCTCATTGGGGGTGGTGGCCTGTCTATGCTGGAGCAGATGGCCACTATCCTCCCCTGGCCCCAGCTGCATGTGGAGGGATATAGGATCCTCCTGGGTCCATTGGAAGGGTTCTACTGCATAGATGGGACTGCAGGGTGACAGCTAGATGGTCCAGCCTAGTGGTGCCAGATACCCTAAAAACCAAGAGTGTTGTCACCTTGCAGGCTCCACGTGCCCCCTGGCTGTAGCACAGAGCTCAACCACCTGGGCTACCAGTTTGTGCAGAGAGTATTTGAGAAGCATGACCAGGTAAGAGCACTGTGGTCCCCTGTCCTTCACTACCATGCCTGGCACATGTCCCATGACCTTTCCCTGCAGGACTGTGATGGTGCCCTCTCACCCACGGAGCTGCAGAGCCTCTTCAGCGTGTTCCCTGTGGCCCCCTGGGGCCCTGAGCTCCTGCGCACGGTGTGCACCGAGTCCGGCCGGCTGTCCCTACATGGGTACCTTTGCCAGTGGACGTAAGTGCCACGCTCAGCACACCCACCTGCGTGCTGTCCACCTCCCCACTATAACGTTTGCCTTTGCCTGCCTCCAGGCTGGTGACCTACCTGGATGTCCAGCGCTGCCTGGGGCACCTTGGCTACCTGGGCTACCCCACCCTCTGCGAGGAGGACTCTCAAGCCCGGGCCATCACAGGTGGGTGCCCACCCTCCTCAGGCCCTGGGCCTAGCACCAGGCAGTCACCTTAACCTGCACCCATCCTCACAGTCACTCGTGAGAAAAGGCTGGACCAGGAGAAGGGGCAGACACAGCGGAGTGTTCTCATGTGCAAGGTGGTGGGGGCCCCAGGAGTGGGCAAGTCTGCCTTCCTGCAAGCCTTCCTTGGCCACAGTCTGGGGGTGAGTGTCTGCAGAGGTACTAGTACCCTAACTGGTGGCTCTAGGAGTAGGTCAGGGTTTTCTGGGTTGTACTGAGTCCAGTGAGCATCAGGGTCTCCTCCCTCTCTCTCAGCACCAGGATGACATAGAGTCCCCAGAGGCCCCTTCCAACTATGCCATCAACACTGTGCAGGTCAATGGACAGCAGAAGTACCTGATTGTGAGTGCCAGGAGGGCCTGGGATCTTGGGGACACTTCTTTGCCTACCCCTTACTTGCTAGAGCTGTTTCATTGTGGCCCTTGGGGATCCTTGTGTGAGGTCACTGTTTGTCCTAGCTATGTGAGATGGGCACAGACAGCTTGCTGGCCACCTTGCCGGATGCTGCCTGCGATGTTGCCTGCTTAATGTTTGATGGCAGTGACCCAGAGTCCTTTTTGTACTGCGCTGATGTCTACAAGGTGAGACCTGGCCCCAAGTCTTGCCAGGGAACAGTGCCATGGGGCAGGGCCTATCCGCCAGCCGTGCCTTGCTCTCCTAGGACTATCCCTTACATGGCCTTCCCTGTGCAGCGTCATTACATGGATGGGCAGACGCCCTGCCTCTTCCTCTGCTCCAAAGCTGACCTGCCCGAAGGTGTTGCGCTGTATGGCCCTTCACCAGCTGAGTTCTGCCGCAGGCACCGTCTGCCCACACCCATCCCGTTCTCCTGCGCCGGCCCAGAGGAGCCCAGCACTGCCATCTTCACCCAGCTTGCCACCATGGCTACCTTCCCGTGGGTACCCAGCATCGTAGTCCTACTCACAACAGGAGGGTAGTCTGTCCTATCTCAGGGCACTGGCACCACCTGTTGCCCAGACACTGGAGTGGTTATGGTGTCAGGGCTGGAGCAGGGTCAGGGTTGCAGGGTAGGGCTCTGGGTGACACAGCATGTGCCTGGGTGTGCCCCTCAGGGCTTGATCCCTGCTGGCTGCTTTGTGGCCTGGGACCTCTGACTGTCCAGTTGAGTGTGACCAGCAGCAAGCAGGCAGGCCTGGCCTGAGGGCCTCTGCTGATGGCACCTCTCTCTCGCAGACACTTGGCCCGAGCAGAGATGTGTCCGACGTCCTTCTGGCTCCGGGGAATTCTGGGGCTCTTTGGGGCCGCCATGGCTGCAGTGCTTAGCTTCTCCCTCTATAGGGTCCTGGTGAAGAGCCGATGAAGTTCCTGAGACCTTGAGCCCCTCCCTTGACCTGGGCAGGGTTCCCTTCAAGACAGCGCAATGTGAAATGCAAGCTCCTAGCTGAGCAGTCTGACCACAGGGCCCTCAAAGGGACTGTCTTCCTTAACTTCTGAAGATAGTCACCTGCCCCTGCGCAGGGCCCTCCATCCTCCTGTAAAGGGCCCTCCATCTTCCTGTAAAGTTCCCTGGCTCCTGCCCAAGGCCCAGGTGTGCCATATGCCACCACAGCCACAGGCACTGCCTTCCTTTGTGGGTTTCATGTGTGTTGGGCTGGGGACCACAGGTGACCTCAGACTCAGAATTCTCAGGGCTCCGCCTCTTTGCTGGTCCTGGGTAGCTAGTGGATGTGAGAGGCTGGAAGGCAGAATTTGGGGCCAAAGGTGGGGGTGGGCAGCACCCTCTTGTCCAGTTGGGAACCTTTCCACAGTGGCGCCCACAGTGGCAGACAAAGTTGGGTTTCCTGATTAAACTGTCTTTTCCATCTCTCGGACCCCAGTCTCTGAAAACAGTTTTTCTCAAACTGATATGGAACACATTCTGTGTCTTAGTGTGGGCTAGAAATGTCACACCTCCATTTCCTTCTTAGGTCACCACCCCAAGGCCTCAGGCCAATGTGATAAGTGACCCTGTAGGGTCTTCATGTCTATGGAGGCTGTGTGGTCTGGGTAAGGCCACTGCCAATGGTGCCTTCTCTGCTTGCTCTGTGATGTCCTGGCATGGAGCACGGCTGACCACTACGCCCTCGCCTAAAGGAAGCAGGACAACTCTGGTGGGGGGATGGGCCTAGACATACTTCCTAGGCATGAAGCTGAGAGACCCCACAGTGTAGTCACCCAGGGCCGCCCAGACAGGCGTTCACAGACCTACATACTTGGGCCAGGGACCCTCCCCAGGTCTTGGTGTGCTGCCTACCCTAAGAAGTCCCTGCACTGTCCCCACAGCCTCCTGGCTGGATGGCAGTTTGGTTCACAGTCTGCTTTGGGCAGGGGAGAATACAGTCTGCTTTGGGCAGGGGAGGATACAGCAGTGAGTGCAGCATCCCCAAAATCTTTGCCACAGCAAGGGCAGGTTTCCAGCAGCCCTTGGTGGGTTGCCATGGGTACATGTCCCCGTCTGTCACCTTTGTTGCTTTGTTGTTGGAGGGGTTTGCCCAGGAACAGGTCCTTACCTTATCCCAGCTGCAGCCCTGCCCCATGGGAGTTCTGCTCAGCTGGGGCTGTCTGGATAACCTCAGTGTTTTCCTGAGCCCAGAGGCTCTGCCAGCTCCTGCAGCATGAGTGGAAACCCCAGCATGTCAACATGTGGGTTCATCTTGGTCATCCGTACTGTGGCAACTGCAAGAGGGTCTTCCACCCTGCAAGGTGGCCTTGATCTCACTGGGGGCCATGGGATGTTCCTGCTACAACACGGAGGATGGGGAGGGGGTGTGTCTACCACAGGTGGGTGAGCTCCCAGTCGAGGCAGAAACATCAATGAATTGCAACGATGAGAGACAGTGGAGCAGCCAGGGAGGTGATGTCTTTAGGCCTGAGCCTAGAAAGCCTGTGTGGAAGAGCCTTGCTCGTGAGGGGTTCCAGAGTGCCCCGACTTGATGTGGCTGCTGTCTGGGAGGGAAGGAAGGTGTGCCCAATACCAGGGGTGGGGGTGGGCACACTGTTCAGCGGAAGCCATACCTGCCCAGGGTGTGTGTCCAGAGGCAGCCTGGCTGGCACATCCGCTTATGGAGTGCGTGTGTCCTGGCCCGCGCGTGGCCGCGTGTGCAGTGGGGGCGGGCGGGCGGCTGTGACGCGGCCCGAGCGCGGCGCGGCGCGGCGCGGCGCGAGCAGAGCAGGTGGAGCGGGCTGGCTGGGGCGGAGCAGAGCCCGCCGCAGAGCAGCCCCTCCCGGCCGCGGCCGCTGACCCCGGCCCCCGGCCCGGCCTGGCTCTATGGACAGAAGCTCCTTGCTGCAGCTCATCCAGGAGCAGGTGCGTGGGGGACAGGGGGAGCCGGCACCACCCTGGGTGCTGTGGTCCTGCTGCTGGGCTGAGCTTGTGAGGGACTGAGAGCTCCCAGAGAGCCCCACTCCACATCCCCAGCACCCCTCTACACGACCTTGACCCCTGTGCTTGAGCTGGCTGGCCTGGAGCTCCCGGGGGAGGGTAGGAGGGAGGGCGGTTGTCACAGGGTGGTCTGGGTGGAAATGAAGTGGGAAGAGCTCAGGAGCGGGAGGGCTGGGACCTGGCCCTGGTGTCCTGGCAGCTCCTGGAGCTGCTGCTCAAGCTAGTGTGCCAGGTCCTGTGGTCTGGGTTTGGCCTGCCTCAGACCTTGGCTGGCGCCACCCCATCCCACCCCACCCCAGCAGCTGGACCCTGAGAACACAGGCTTCATCGGTGCAGACACCTTCGCTGGTCTGGTGCACAGCCATGAGCTGCCCCTGGACCCGGCCAAGCTGGACATGCTGGTGGCCCTGGCCCAGAGCAATGAGCGGGGCCAGGTCTGCTACCAGGAGCTGGTGGACCTGGTCAGTGCCATAATGGGTGGGCAGCAGGGGCCAGATTCAGTGCCCTGCCAAGGGGGTGTGTGAGCAGGTGGCCTCTCTTGCTGGGGAGGACTCATGGATGTGGGGAGCTGGGCAGGCCACGGGCAGGGGTGCCATGAAGGGACTTGCCCATGCTCTGGTCCCTGCCCCTAGATCAGCAGCAAGCGCTCCAGCAGCTTCAAGCGGGCCATTGCTAATGGGCAGCGGGCACTGCCCCAGGATGGGTTGCTGGATGAGCCAGAACTGGGTGTCTACAAGCGGTTTGTGCGCTATGTGGCCTATGAGATCCTGCCCTGTGAAGTGGACCGCCGCTGGTACTTCTACCGGCACCGCAGCTGCCCGCCCCCTGTGTTCATGGCCTCCATCACCCTCGCCCAGGTGGGACCACCCCCCCACTGCCCTGGGGGGGCCTCCTGCGTCCCTGTCCTGATCAGCCCCTACTTATATCTCCAGATCATCGTGTTCCTGTGCTACGGGGCACGCCTCAACAAGTGGGTGCTGCAGACCTACCATCCAGAGTACATGAAGAGCCCCCTTGTGTACCACCCTGGGCACCGTGCCCGGGCCTGGCGCTTCCTCACCTATATGTTCATGCACGTTGGGTGAGTGGCGGTTGCTGGCTTGGCCAGGCCAGCCCACCCAAAGATGCCCACTCACTAAATCAGAAAGACTCATCTGGGGGACAGAGGCAGCAACTTGAGGCAAGGGTTGGGGGTGGCCAGACTGAACAGCTGATCCCCCCGTACCTGTCCCCCGTGTGGCCAGGCTGGAGCAGCTCGGGTTCAATGCCCTCCTGCAGCTGATGATTGGGGTGCCCCTGGAGATGGTGCATGGCCTGCTCCGTATCAGCCTGCTCTACCTGGCAGGTGTGCTGGCAGGTGAGACAGGCATGTGCCCCTGCCCACCTCATTGGCTTGTCCTGCCCTCATCCCCTCCCCTGCTCACACAGGCTCTCTGACCGTCTCCATCACCGACATGCGGGCCCCCGTGGTGGGAGGCTCTGGCGGGGTCTACGCCCTGTGTTCAGCACACCTGGCCAACGTCGTCATGGTAACAAGGCTGCCCAGCTGTGGATGTGGGGCGGGGCCGGCCCACCCCCACCCTCAGCATTCCTCTTGTCTACATGCCCTTGTCAGAACTGGGCTGGGATGAGGTGTCCCTACAAGCTGCTGAGGATGGTGCTGGCCTTGGTGTGCAGTGAGTAGGGGCTAGGTGGGGTTGGGGGGGCCCCCTCAGCCTGCAGTCAGGGCCCCTCCCACCTGCTGCATCCCTCTGCAGTGAGCTCCGAGGTAGGCCGGGCCGTGTGGCTGCGCTTCTCCCCACCACTGCCTGCCTCGGGCCCGCAGCCCAGCTTCATGGCACATCTTGCGGGTGCGGTGGTAGGTGTGAGCATGGGCCTGACCATCTTGCGCAGCTACGAGGAGCGCCTGCAGGACCAGTGCGGCTGGTGGGTAGTGCTGTTGGCCTACGGCACCTTCCTGCTCTTCGCCATTTTCTGGAACATCTTTGCCTATGACCTGCTGGGTGCCCACATACCCCCGCCGCCCTGACCAGCTCCCTTTGGCTGGGCTCAGGCATGTGGTGAACTGGCCACCAATCAGGCCTTTTGTGTCTGCCCTCCAGGGATGGACGTTTCAAGGCTGCTGCTCCCCATGGGGCAGGTGGTCCATGTGGCCCACTGATTTGAGGCCAAGGCTTACTCTAGCCCTGGCTGCCCATCAAAGGCCTGGTTGGAAGGGCTGCTGGGCCAGGGATGGGTAGGTGGCCTCAGAGGAGTCCTCATCCACCTCCCACCCCTACCTCCACCCCTAGGACTTGCAGTCTGAGCCTTTTTCGAAAATAAATAAATATTTTACACAACATCAAGTGGCAGTCCCACGGTTCCAGAGACTTGTCTGCCCTCCCTTACACCTGCTGAACTTGAAAGACCCCCTCCTCCCATGATAATGGCTTGGGTTTTCTTTCTCTTTGCACCTCTGGACCTGGAGTGAGCACAACAAACATTTATTGATTCCTGTAATGGCCAGCTTCCTGCTTAGCCAGCCTGCTGTCCTGGAAACCCCAGGCCTGATTCTGAGAGGCAAGTGGGCAGGCGTGGGTCCTGTACTTCTTGGCTGGCCTCGTGGCTTCATGAGTAGCCAAATCAGGGCATAGCTTCTACCCCATGGCCCAGGTCCACAGCGCTGTCTCCAGAACGCTCCTGAGGTCTGGAGGTCCTGGATGCCTTTTCTGGCCACCAGCAGTTTGCTTGTCTGGACGCAAAGCCTCTGGTACTCTTGGATCAGGTCCAGATACAGCAAGTAGAACTCGAGAGTGCACTGCAGGGCTGGCAGGAATGCTGTGGGCAGCAAGGAACACTACACAGGTCCCACCGGTGTGGGGACAGAGTCTTGGAGACATGCCGTTGCTCCTGCTCTGAGTGGCACTTGATTGTCCCCGCGCTTACGACCCAGCTCACCCGAGGCCATACCCACAGCTTCAGTACGCGGCCAGAAGCGACCCCTTTGCGGGCCGACATATCAGCGGCTTCTGGGGAGGGGCCCACCACGCCACCCTTCAGAACCCGCTCGCTTCCCTCCTGTTACGTGATTGTCCGTTTGTCACCGGTGGTGGCAGGCAGCTCCTCTCGGTACCTGGGGTAGAGCAGTGACGCAAGTCCAGCCATGGAGGCGCCCACCCTACCAATCCCCACAACCCCTTCCACTCTGTTAACGGTCCAGGGCTTTCACCCCGGGGGGTCGCGCGTGTCCGAAGCACCTCTCTGCGGCGCTCCGGGAGGGAGGCCAGGCGCACGGTCCTCGTACCCAGCAAGCCGCCATCCGCCATGTTCACGTCGGGGGCGGGGTCTCTGAGACCGGGGCGGAGCCTGTGCGCCCCAAGGCGAGGCCGGCCGCGGGGGGCGGGGCCCGAGTGCCGCGGGGGTGGGGTTCCTGAAGACCCACGCAGGTTTTAGGCGGCTAGACTCCAGCGACTGGGATGAGGGTCTCAGTGGGGAGGCCAGGCCTTCGGGAAAGCGCTCCTCCTGGCCTCCAACGTCGCCCGTACCGGGCCCTGAGGCTCGTTTGACGTACGCACGACCCCGCCGCCCTCACGTGTGCATCTCCGCTGGCTCCGCCCCGCGCGGCCGGAAGTTCCGCTTGGGATCGCTGGACTGGGCCCGAGCGGACGCGGGCTCGGGCTGCGGGGCTCGGGCTCGGGCTCGGGCTGCGGGCACAGGGCTAGCCGGGCGCGAAGCCTGGGAGCGGTGCCCAGGCCGTGCCGCGCAGCGCCATGAAGGGCAAGGAAGAGAAGGAGAGCGGCGCCCGTATGGGTGCCGGCGGCGGAAGCCCCGAGAAGAGCCCGAGTGCGCAGGAGCTCAAGGAGCAGGGCAACCGGCTCTTCGTGGGCCGCAAGTACCCGGAGGCTGCGGCCTGCTACGGCCGCGCCATCGTGAGTGCGCCCGAGTCGGGGGAGGGGTCGGCGTCAGGGCCGGGGAAGGGGGCGGGACCCAGGTTTCAGTCTGTAAATCTGGTTGCGGGACAACTATCCCTTCCAGAGAGGCAGGTAGGGTAGGAGAACAGGGACACTCCCCGCTGAGGACCCCAGGCCCAAATAGGAGGCTCTTTACAGGTTAGAGAAACTTAGCTTTACTAGACCAGTGGGAGTCAAGAGGGTGGACTCAGCCCAGGACTCCACCCTCCGCGGATCCTTGGGACCTAGAGGCTTTGACTACTAGTTTGATTACAGCCCAGGGAGCCAGAGCTGGTGGGTTAGGACCTGGGACATCAGAATGCCAGCTTGTTGGGGCAGAGGAAGCTGGCCGAGCCCACAGCCTCACGCTAGGGCACGGCCTCGGTCTCCAGACCCGGAACCCCCTGGTGGCAGTGTATTACACCAATCGGGCCCTGTGCTACCTGAAGATGCAGCAACACGAGCAAGCGCTGGCTGATTGCCGGCGCGCCCTGGAGCTGGACGGGCAGTCTGTGAAGGCGCACTTCTTTCTGGGGCAGTGCCAGCTGGAGATGGAGAGCTATGACGAGGCTATTGCCAATTTGCAGCGAGGTGGGCCGCAATGCTGGCTGGCTGCAGGGTGCCTGGGACTAGGCAGGTGGACAAGCCAGAGAGTGACCGGAACCCTCCATTTCCCCAGCCTACAGCCTGGCTAAGGAGCAGCGACTTAACTTTGGGGATGACATCCCTAGTGCACTGCGCATTGCTAAGAAGAAACGCTGGAATAGCATCGAGGAGCGGCGTATCCATCAGGAGAGCGAGCTGCACGCCTACCTCACGAGGCTCATTGCGGCAGAGCGAGAGAGGTGGGCTCCCCACCCCCAGGCCGCCCTATTTCCCATTCACTGAATCACCGACTGCCACACGAGTGTTTATTGAAGTCTAACACTGGCAAGCAGGAAACTGAGGGGGAAGAGGCTTGAACTTGAGCCCTGAGTTGGGGTGGGGTCTGACATCTTCCTAGGTCTGTCTTTGACTAGTTTCTGGTCAACCCCCAGGGAGCTGGAGGAGTGCCAGCGGAACCATGAGGGTGATGAGGATGATGGCCATGTCAGGGCTCAGCAGGCCTGCATCGAAGCCAAGCATGTGAGGGTGCCCTGGCCCATGAATGGATCTGTGTGTTCATGTGACGTGAGGGTGCCCCTGATGCATGTCTGGTCTGTGTGTGCCTGTAGGGAATTGAGATGGGCATCTGATCCAAGCGCAGTGCTCAATTCTTCACAGGACAAATACATGGCGGACATGGATGAGCTCTTCTCTCAGGTAGATGAGAAGAGAAAGGTGAGTGTTCCCTAAATTCTCTGAGTAGCAGGTTTTGGCACAGTGTCTCTTCCCTGGGCCTGGTCTCTGACCCTATCCCTATATGCCACAGAAGCGAGATATCCCTGACTACCTGTGTGGCAAGATCAGCTTTGAGCTGATGCGTGAGCCGTGCATCACGCCAAGTGGTATCACATATGACCGCAAGGACATCGAGGAGCACCTGCAGGTGAGGCCCATGGGCCATCGGGAACAGGGTCAGGAGTATGGCCCTTGGTCCCACTGAGAGCCTTCTGACCTTGTTACTGCAGCGTGTAGGCCACTTTGACCCTGTGACCCGGAGCCCCTTGACCCAGGAACAGCTCATCCCAAACCTGGCCATGAAAGAAGTCATCGATGCATTCATCTCTGAGAACGGCTGGGTGGAGGACTACTGAGGCACTCCCCATGGCACCTTTCCTGGTATCTTGGCCTAGGAGGGGCCTGAGGCAGAAGTCCCCAATCCCTGTACAAAGTTAATGTCTCTGGGCCCTGCCCCCCCATCAGTTCCGTTGGCCTCTGACTGCTCTCCCTCTCAGCATAGCTCTTGCTGGGCCTTCCCTGTTCTGTCTGGCTGGAAAACAGGTGAGGGTGGGCTGGGCCGAGGCCACTGCTGCTGCCACTGTCTCTGTAATAAAATCTGTGAGCACTAGGTGAACATGGGCTGGTATTCACGTGACACAGGCATGCCTGCAATCTACTCTAATTAGCCAAGGAATGTAGAGATGAAGACACTGGTTTCCAGATTGAGTGTAGCATGCCACCAGCGGTCAGGGAAATACAGCACCTGATAGAAGAACAAATAGAGTACTGAGATTAGCTGGGGGCCTATTGGCCTGGTCCAGTGCACCCCTGCCAACCACTAACCTCACCAGCCCGGATAGTACACTCCAGAGGCTTTGCATATGGCGCTAGGGCTGGGTATGTGTCCTGGAACCAGGCTAGCGTGGTCTTATTAGGGTGGAACTCAGGTGTCTTCTCAGGTGGGTAAAGGAACCAGCGCTAGAGACAGGAGTGGCAAAGTCACTTTGTGTGTTGTGGTTGGTAAGCCCCATGTCTCAATGCCCCCCCCCAATCATCTTTACCTTGCGGCCATAGATCACCTCTGAATACCCAGGCCCATGCCAGTGGAAGGGTACCCCAGAGCCAGCTCCTGTGGGATCAGTTATAAGCAGCTGGTAACCAAATCAAGTCTGTGCCCATCATCAGTATCCTTTCACCTGAGGAACACTCACCTGCAATTCCAAAGCTGTAAGCAGGAGTGGTACCCAGCAGACCAAATGGGGGTGGGAAGTAGTGCCGAAAGAGTGATGCCCATTCAGTGAAGTTGTTGTCTCCGAAAAAGTACAGGGTGTCTGCCACAAACAAGACAGAGTGACCAGGGCGCCTGGTAACTCAAAAGTGTCCCTAACCCCACTGCCCCCCAGATTTGGCTCACTGTTGCCCAGGGAGGTGGGGTCCTGGGGATCCAGCAGCTGCTCCACATACTCCTGGAAGGGCAGGTCCACTGCGGGGAAGGGGGCAGGTCAGGACTGGCTGCTCCTGCCTTCAGGATACTGGCAACCTAGCGGATCCCACGGGGCACAGCAGCTCACCTTTCTGGTAAGAATAAGTGTTGGCAGTGCTCAGCCGAACCACACTCTCCCCAAACGAAGCCAGCAGCCTTTCGCGGGAGCACAGGGCACGAAACCTCTGCGGGAATGGGGAGAAGACTTAACGGCTGTGTCCAGAACGGAAAAAAGGTGCCCAGGACAAGCACGCACCCTCACCGAGTTATCTGTGAGTCCTTGCAGGATGACGGGCCTGAGAAAGGCGTAACTGCAAAAGAAGGGCAGAGTCGCGGCCGGCTGTGAGCCACGCCCGCGCCCGCTCCCACGCGTGCTCTTTAGGTCAAGGAAAGGAGTCCTCAAAAGATCCGAGCAAACAAGTGGGTAAACAAGGACGTGACTCAAGGGTGGCCGAGCTCCAGGGACGGTTTGGGGCGGCAGGGCACACGTACTGCTGCACGAACTCTGCGTAGGTGAGGTCGGCCCGACGCTCCACAGTGCAGCGCTCCTCCTCCGCCGCCGCCGGCTCACCCCGCCGCCTGTGGGTACACCTGCGTCAGCGCAGCCGCTGAACCCCTCCTCCCCGCCCGCTCCCCACCATGGCCCGTCTAGCCTGCTCACCACCCGCCGTCGCCTGCCCAGCCAGGCCGAGCCAGGGCAGCGAACAAGATCGCCCGCAGCAGCAGCGTCCGTGGTCCCAGCGCCATGATCCTGCGGCCGCGCTGCACGCCGGGAACCCGCTCCCCGACGCACGCTATTGGCCCACGGCTCCGTCGTCGTGGCAACAGCCAGCGCGATACGAACTCGGAAGTCACCTTCCGCGGCCCGCCCCCGGCGGGACACTTCCGGGAGGCCAGAGAAAACTCAAGCCAAAGATGCCAAAGCCGGCCGCCGGTCACCATGGCGACACTGCCGCCCGCCCACGCACCGCACAGACGCACGCACGCACGGCGCGACCCGACTACAGGTCCGACAGCGGCTCCCTCTCCTTTTATTCGGCTCCAAGCTCCAGCGCCGGGCGCAAGGTCGGGACTAGGGGCACGCGGGGAGCCGCACTTGCTAGCCAGGTGCCTGTAGGCCTCGCCTCACGGGGCTCAGGAATACTCGCACAGGTGGCCGCAGCCAGCAGGGCAGTGGGAGCTGCCCTCCAACCACTTCATGATGTGCTGCAGATGACCGCCGTGGCTGCAGCCCTGGCACCACACGAACAGACCCTTGACCACGTGGTGACAGACGGCACACATGCTGGCACAGCGATGGCACCTAGGGTAAGGAGGCGGCTTCAGCGGGGGCTCCTGAGTTGCCCACATGCCCCCCGCACCGCCCCCATGGCCTCACCTGTCACAAACCCAGCCACGGCTGCTCATGGGCCGCTTGCAGTGGCTGCAGTTGACATGCAGGGTGGTAGAGGCCTGGTTCAGGCAGCTGATAGCTCGGCTGGTGCTCAGCTTGACCACCTCATTGGACACATTCCAAAGCCGGAAGCGCTGCAGCAGGTCGATGTAGGACGTGTACCAGTGCTCCTGTGGGCAGGGAGGGGCCCAGGCATCAGGATAGGATGGCCAGGAGCAGCTAAGAGGCCAGTCTGTGTGAGGGCTATGCTGCGGCAGCAGCTATTCCAGACCTTATGTGCCCCATCACACACCTGGGTCTGCTCATCGATGTCCTTGCGTACCCGTTCACCCAGCACAATGAGCACAGACACCGCCATCTGCACGTCACCCTGCTCAGCATAGAAGTGCAGCATGTCACACACCAGCACACTGAAGAAGTTGGGCGGCAGACGGCTGTCATACAGAGCATGTGAGATAGACAGGAGCGAGAAAGAGGAGTCCACAGGCACCAAAGAGGCTGCCTCTGCCTCGCTGCCGCTCACATGTGGGGACTCAGCCTTGTCCTGCAGGTGTTCCGGTCCAGGTGGCGTGTCCACGATCTCATGACGCAGTGGGAAGGCCTCCTGCGGCAAGACGTACTCGGGCTCCTCGGCTGGGAGGCAGGGAGGTCTGAGCCTCTGTCCTCATCTGCCCCCTACCCCACCCTGAGCCCCAACTTACGGTGTGAATGCTCAGGGTCCAGCAGGTACAGTTCATCCTCCTCGCCCTCTGCATCACCCAGCAGGTAGTCAGCAGGCACATCGCTGCCCTCCGTTTCCTCATTATCTGCCCAGCAGGGAGAGCATTTGGGCAGTGTGTTAGGGGAATGCCCAGCATCTTTCCATCAGTACCTTCCCACCATCCACCTACCCTCATTGGTGATGAGTGTGGCCGAGGAATCCAGAAGAGCTGTGTCACTCCGTGTGTCACTTTTGTTGCGGTCCAGCCGGTTTTCACTACCCAGCCCTGAGGCCATATCTTTCAGGTTGAAACTGGGGATAGGGAAGGGTGATAATGGGTGGGTTATAGCATCCCCACCCTCTGGGGAGAGCCACCCCAGGACCCACCTGTTCATGAGTGGCAGAGCACAGGAGCTGCCCTTGCCCACACTGTGGTTAAGGTTAGCAGAGGGCATCAGCCCAGAGCTGCAGTAGATGATCCTCAGCATGGTCCACGTCTGAGCCACCTGGGGACAAGCATCAGTAACTTGTGGGGACCCAGGCATCCAGCACCCCATGCAGGAGCTCCTCTGGCTGGAAAGAATCACAAATCCCCAGCTTCTGGCCACCCAGGAGACTAATGTCCTGGCTCACCTCATATGAGAAAGCTGAGGCCCATGGGAAAAACAAAATTCCCAGTCTCCATCCTACAGGAGCTCAGAAAACTGGTAGATAGCCACTATGGAAATGAACGTGGGGACCAGGGGGGGTGACAAGAGACGAGCACAGAGGAAGGCTCACACCTTGCTGCAGAGCAGAATACAGGGCTTGAGCTATACCACTGCCCAGACCTCTGGTCCTGTGTGATCCTGGCACCCTCAGCTACTACTGAGACAAAGGCTGGTGAGGTGACTGGACACAGCCAAGTGGAAGCTTTGGGGCAGTGAGGTGGTTACAGCTGTTGGAGTAGCCAGCCCCAACAGCTGCCCCAAGGTCATGGCCCCTGCTACCCCTTTGGCCCAACCCCTCCTACCTGGTTACGGCCAAGCTCCCGAGCCACTTTCGAGTTGTGGTCACAGAGTTCGGCCAGGGGCCGGCCAGACAGAGCATAACGCTCAGCTGTGTCCACAAACCAGCTCATGCTGCCACCACCAGGTTCCATCTCAAAGACACTAAGGGCACTGGAGGCAAGGCCTGCAAATGGTTCAGCAGGGTCTAGCTTCCGCTTGAAGAACACAGGGTGGCGCCGGTCACCAGTGTGGGGCTTGCGCCCTGACTCAGTAGCCACTAGACTTTCCTTGGCAGCAAAGGCCAGGTCCCCAAAGAGGCCATAGCAGAGTCCCTCAGGGTTGGCACGCTCAACAGGCTGGCTGGCATCTCGGAACAGATGCTGGCATAGTGAACTGTCCTTAGAGCCAGACAGCAGGAAGGAGGGGTCATGGGGGTGGCGCCAAGCAATGCCCGTTGTGACATCCCGATGCTCCTCAAACATGGCAGCTGGCACGAAGGGCCGGCGCACATCCCACACATAGATGTTGTGGTCCACCATCATGGAGCACGTGGCCAGATGGTGTCGGCACTCAGGCCGCCACTTGACGCGAGCCACTGAGGCGATGGTCTGCACACAGTGTATCTCCTTGGCACGGTGTGTGGTCATATCCCAGACCTTCACCATCTTGTCGCGCCCTCCTGTGGCCAGCCAGCCCCTGTGGAAGGGCCCCACCCATGTCCTCAGTGACCTCTTCTGGGGGAGAGGGGATCTCCCAGCCCTTCCATTCCCCACTTTCCATCTCACAGGTCTTAAGGCAGGGAGAGAACTTTTCTTGAGGCCTACTGCCTACCCTCATATCCCCACACCTGTCCTCAGGGTGCCAGTCACAGCAGAAGACAGGCCCATTGTGTGCTGTGAACATCCTCTCACACCGGTCGGGGCGCCGGATGTCCCAGAGCTGCACATTGCCATTCTCAAATGTAGAGGCGAAAGTGAAGTAGTCCCGGATGCTGAATTGGACATCCCGCACACTCTCAGACTGGCCTGTGGGCAGGTGTCAATACAGGGAGAGGCAAAAGGGGCTGGTCCCCAGGGCAAGCCCAAGGACTGGCCATGAGATGATGTCACACACCCTCTACCAAGAGGACCAGAGATGGTAGAGTGGACACACTGAGTGACCCACCCAAGACCCTGGGCCAGGGAGCAGAATGCCAGGTGTTTTCTTTTTTTTCTTCCCTTACTGAGACAGGGTCTCCCTCTGTTGCCCAGGCTGGGGTACAGTGTTGTCATCATAGATCAAACTGCAACCTCAAACTCCTGGGCTTAAGTTATCCTCCTGCCACAGTCTCCCAAGCATTACAGATGTGTACCAGCACAACCAGCTAACTTAAAATTTATTGTAGAGATGGGGGTATCATTATGTTGCCCAGGCTTGTCTTCAATCTCTGGCTTCAAGCATTCCTCCCACCTCAGGCTCCCAAAGTAATGGGATTACAGGTGTGAGCTATCACCCTGGCTGACGGGTGGTTTTTATTTTTTCTTTTGTAGAGACAGAGTCTCACTTTTTCACCCTCGGTAGAGTGCAGTGGAGTCACAGCTCACAGCAACCTCCAACTCCTGGGCTTAGGCGATTCTTCTGCCTCAGCCTCCCAAGTAGCTGGGACTACAGGTGCCTGCCACAATGCCCGGCTATTTTTTGTTGCAGTTTGGCCGGGGCTGGGTTTGAACCCGCCACCCTTGGTATATGGGGCTGGCGCCCTACTCACTGAGCCACAGGCGCCTCCCTTTATTTTTTATTATTATCATTTTTTTAGAGACAGAGTTTTACTTTGTCACCCTTGGTAGAGTACTGTGGTGTCATAGCTCACAGCAACCTCCAGCTCTTGGGCTTAGGTGATTCTCTTGCCTTAGCCTCCCGAGTAGCTGGGACTACAGGTGCCCACCACAATGCCCGGCTGACAGGTAGTTTTTAACACAAACTCCTGGGCCTCAATGGTCCCTGGATTCTGCACACTACATTAGTCCTGGGCAAAGCTGTGGCCCCATCTCAGAATACAGTATATGAATGTCAGGAGAACAAGAGTCCTACCCAGCCATCTGCTCACATTCCTCTTGGGGGTCCTAAGAAGGTGTCTTAAGGAGGCCCTGTGTAAGGTGTCTAGCTTCCATCCAATCCCTTTACCTGTCACTGAAGCTGCCTACTCAGCCCCACAGGACCAGAAGGCTCAGGGTCCAGGTCCACTCTAGTGGACCACTGCAGCAAGGGCCTGTGAGGGCAGTGCTCAGCCTTCTCTCAGGACTGAGAGCTCAGGATTTGTCTTAAGTGGCCCCTCATTTCTTTGAGGCCCCTTAAAGCTTTGCCTTGTGCACTGCTTGGTGTCATCTAGGTGAACAAAGGAGAGATGGCTCAAGGCTGGGCATCAGGCAGCTAGGCCTGCTAGGAAAAGGACCCTAAGGGAACTGGATAGTGCATCCCACCTCCTCTGCCTCTCTGGGCTGAGAACCCTGGAAATCCTGGTAGACTTCCTGCAATGGGGTGGCCTGGAGCTCTGCAGTGAGAGAAATGGAGGTAGTGCAATGACCCCTCTGCTAAGCCACAGGGTCAGCTGTGAGACAGCTGGGGCTCTGCCCTCCCCTTCTCCCACACCCAGCCTCAGTTCCTGCTGGTCCTGCCTCCTGCCTCCCCACCATCACCACCTGGACTTACACCTCGTCCAGTCCTGCTCCCACCTTTGCCCCCTCCAGGAAGCCCTCTAAGAGTGCATCTGAAGGCCTCTGATACACAGAGCACTTCTCAGCCTGCCTGGACAGGCTGGGCACGGGAAAGATGCCCACATGCCCCAACCTGCCTCTGCAGGTCTCACCTGAGAAGGTGCTGACAGAGTCCTTTCTGCGA